GCCGCTTCCCCCCATTGTCCCCTTCTGCGTCGCCTCCTGGCTGGCGACCGCCACCGGGTTGCGGGATTCCCTCGGGCGTAGTGGACTCTCCAGGCAGATGTGCGACCCCCGCTCCTCTCGCTTTGGGCTCTAGCCGCGGAGTTTCACGTATGACCCTTGCCTTAAGGTTTTCCTTTACCGGGAACCGGTGACCCAGACCTTGCTCCCTGTTGGAGGCAATGATCTCGACCCTTTTGGAGGCAGAATGTTTGCATCCGAGACAGCAATGGCGTTTCAGGGCCCATTTTCACCCAGGAGCTTTTTTTATTATGAGAGGAAACTGAGGCACTGGGCTGTGACTGTTGTTTGAGCCTGGCTCGGTATCTGCTCTTATGGCCTCTTCTCTGTTCAGAGGTATTCCTGTGATACTGTCAAAATAAAAACAGGAATGTGAACTAATCCTCCCTTCGTCACCTAGTTTTTTTTTTTTTTTTCTCACCCTTCTGCAGCAAAAAGGACGCTCTTAAAAATAAAAATGAAAAAGCGTCTTCTCGGGTTCTCTACTTGAGTTACCATGTTTTTCAGCATCTCCTTTTCTTCCTGGAGTAACCAAGTAGCAACCTGTTTTGCCACAATGGTAACTCGCTAGTCTGCCCTTGGCAGATACCAGACTATTTGCATCCACAGGGAAGGAATACTGACAGGGTCAAAAAGGCACCCAGGGAAGATGGTCCAGTATGGGTATGACTTGTTCTTGGAAACACCTCCCCCAAAAACCCACACTTAAATTAATAGAGAATGTTTGGCTGGAACAGCCAAAAAGTGATTTTTAAACATTGATTCTGGGCCAAAAAGGTCATCTTTTATAAATGGCAGTAGACAAGGTGGATCATTTGGAAAAATTCATATCATATTGTCATCTATTTTAAATGAACTACTTCTGTCAAGAGAAGGTAAAAGCTTTGCATAGACTCCTAGATATTTATGTACATATGACTGCTCCTGAGGGTTGGTACTGGCTGGTACTTAAGGTGTGAAGTGGCATTTTTTTTTTTATTGCCCTCCTGCAGAATACTCTTTTTTGGGTGTTTATTTTCAGATCCTAAGTTCTTGGTGTTTAGAGGAACAGATACAGTGGGCATTCTGCAGAAGACAGTTTTCAGCTTGTAATTTGTATTGTGTCCCTTTGTTTCTGAATGTCCAGAGTGCAGATGGCGGCCTCTGAGGTAGCTGGCGTTGGGGCCAGTGCCCCCAGTCCTTCGGAATCCTCTACTTTATGCGCTTCCAAGACAGATGACGCTCTCCCAGATGGCCTAAGGTAATGTGCAGACTCATGAGGAGAAGGCTTATTGGGATAAGGGGCTTGGAGATGGGCTTCTGACCCACTAGCTATAGCCTTTCCCCCTCAGCACTCTAATGACACTCCTGCAGATAAGTTTTCTTTCCCTCCCCCAGATTAATTTTTTTAAAAGTGGGGACTTCTTAGTCTTTGTATGGTATAGCAACTGGCACTTGGGCAGGCATGCTGGGTTAGAACATGTATCCACACATCATAAATGCATATATTTCTTTGACATGTCCTATACCGCCTAAATGTTCATTTAGCATCCTTGTGTATCTTGCTTCTTTCTTTCTTTCTTTTTTTAGACAAGGTCTCACTTTGCAGCCCTGGCTGGCCTGGAATTCACTATGTAGACCAGGTTCACCTCAAACTCAGCAATTCACCTGCCTCTGCTTCCTTAGTACTGGGATTAAAGGGATGTACCACTATGTGTGGCCATATTCATGTTTTTTAAAATGATTATTTATTGTGTGTTATGCATGCTGGGGATGGGGGAGGTGTGTGTACATTGGGAGACCAAAGGACAGCTTTGTGGAATGGGTTCTTATTATTATTATTATATGGGTTCCAGGGATTAAACTCAGGTTACCAGACTTTTGTGGAAAGCACCTTTACCTGCTGAGCCATTTTGTCAGCCCCCATACTCATTTATAAGTTACTTGGTTATATAGAAGATATGTATGTACAAAATTTAAACAGAAACACAGATTATATGTGTATCTATCCATCTTGATATCTTTGTTAATGTATCTTACTGCTTAATGCATGTATTATGCCTCTTTTTTTTTTTCTAAAGATTTTATTTTTTATTATGTATGCAACGTTCTGCCTCCATGTATGCCTGCACGCCAGAAGAGGGCACCAGATCTCATTATGGATGGTTGTGAACC